TCCAAACACGAGTCGTTCTTTTCAAGTATTTCAGAATAGCAAAGATGTGGGAGATCAAACTATATATTTGGATGAAATTATTTCAGAAATAAATATTTCTTGAAAAAATACTTTTTCGTTAAAAAAAAACTTTTAAAAACACATGTAACAGTTGAAGTTCATTTACCGGTTTGATTGGCCTATTATGAAAACCAAAAACATTTACATGTGGACACTAAAAAAAAAGAATATTGCTTTCTTTGTTTGATTATGTGTTTAATATTTTCCTTGTTTCACTGTGTACCCAAGACTGAACGGCATCATTGATGTGTGTATTAACCAATTATCATACTTTTAAGATCATAAACCAGTTGGCACATTTCATTTTTGATTGACAGCTGCTCTATCAGAATGATTAACATTTTTGCCATTTGCTGGTAACACTATTAACCTCTCAGAACCTTACACTGAGTATGTGTGTATTAAACTAACTGGCAGTTGGCAAGTTTTGTACCATTTTCCTTTTATGTTATTTTCTTGTTAACATTATTAACCTCTCTGAACCTTATACTGAGTATGCAGTGGGTGGAATTTGGGATGTAGAAAGTATCTTTGAGGTTTTTGGCATCAAGGATTATTTTAACCAAACGTCTGATTTAATTACTAATATTTGTGTTCATAACTTAGTATATTCTGAAAGTGTAATGATGTAATCGGCAAAGAATGTAAATATTTGCTATATGCATACAATAAATGCTATTTTTGGTTTACATGCGCTTCTAACAGAGCAAATACAGTATACATTTAGTATCTTCATAATTTTGTTGAATTAAAACCAACATCAAAATGATTTGTAGCATTGTAATTACTCACACATGTGCCATGTAAATTGCTATAAATTTATATATAGTTCTGACATAACTTTTTATTATTCATTAGAATACTTAACATATGTTTAGGTGAAATTATCAGAAAAATATTCTAAACACAGTTTATTATTTTTCAGAGCAACATTGCACATATTTACACTGAACCATCCTGAATTTAATGGGGGGAAAAGTGATTCAATTAATTTTTCGCATTTATGCAAATTAGATGATGTGTTCTTTTTTGGAATTGTATGGTTCTGATTTTATCAGTTTCATTTCCTTGTATCAGATTACTCAAACAAAACATTCATGAAGTCATTTCAATTCCTCTTAGTAAATAATGCATCGTGTCAGTGCGTTTTATGAGATAAATTTGGAACTCACTAGAGCAAAGCTCAAGGACATCCACATATAGTTTTTCTCTTTTGGCCTTATTTAGGGATTTTATCTTCAGTTTAATACTGTATGTTATTAGAACTTGAAGTATTATTATTCTTGGATTTTGAATATTACTTTGTTTCCTCCAAAAGTAGTGCTTGAAAAAGTAAAAAAAGAATAGCATTGAATTAGGGTATGTGATGGACAGTTCTCGTTTTAAAGTTTTTACCAGGGTTTATACAAACTCTCCCACATAGAAGATATCACATGCTAGATTGGTATATTTTTATCCCATTTAACATTTGCTTCTAATAATAAATTAACATGTTATTAATATTTTTTTCACAACTGTGCACATATGACGTGCATTCGATCATCCGGTGCTAATTCCAAATACTAGCCAAAGCAGTTGTGTATCGCCCACTCATTTTCAAGTGTCTATAATTAATTTAATACTGAAAGTAATTTCACTTAAAGCCTTGACCTAGAAAAGACGAGAATTCCAATCTGAGTAATAAATTCCAGTTTATTTTCTCTACAATGCAGTAATAAATTGCAATCAAATAACAAAAAATATCTTTCACCTTACTGGTACTGCATTAAATAAAACAGACCCATAAATGTAACTGTTACTAGGATACAGAGTTGTAGTGAACTCATCCTTACCATCCCTAAATCACCACTTAACCTTACGGTTTCTTAAGTCTCAAAAATAAAGCCCTCATTGTGCCTTGTATATTGTCCAAGCTAATAGGTTTTATGCTTTTAACTGATCTCAAATTATTATTAATATGTAATACTATTAACTGTGAGGTCTGTTTGAATGGCTGGAGGTTATTAATATTAGTGTTGGTTAATTAATTTAGTAAATTGTTAATTAGGTTGATATTCTATGAAGGTTCTTTTACTAAAAATACAATTTGACATGTGTTGTTGCTAATCACTCGAGTCTGGGTGATTTGAGGATCCTAATCATATTATTGCACTAGAATAAACAGAAAAAAACAAAATAGAAAATATGCAAAATCACAGCAGAATTTAATCCTCGTATGTCTTACTGTTCAGAATGGGTAGTTGATATAAAAACACTTTTATAGATCAGTAGTCTGAAGATCTGATATCTTTCAATTCTTAGCGTATTTCTTGCATTCATTGTGCAGTATCCAGTGCTTGTCATTCATCCATTCTGTCAGTGAATGACTACCGGTACTCAGCTGTTTGACTCAATGGGTTTCAGAGGTAGAGTTGAAGATTTTTTAATAAAATTGATCAGTCCTAAATCAGTTGAAAATAAGTCAACCTACCAGTCATTAAATGAGGGGGAAAATAAAACATACGGTACCTCGGTAAATAAAAAGTTAATTCTAAATCATTAAATAACAACATGTGATTCAGTATTACACATGTACTTGTGGGTATAGGCATTTTTATATCCAATATCTGGCAATTAATTTGTTGAATAATTTTGTTTTTAAACTTTCCTTTGTACGTGTATTAGAATCAGGAAATGATGACAAATATGTTATGCTTGCATTGAACAGTTTTACAATATTTGTCATCTTTTATGTATATCAAAGCGTCACAAAATGGTACCTGTCAGGGTATTGTTGGTTTAGGATTATTTGTTAGTGTTTAACATATACTAGCTGGCACGTGCCACCAATTAGCATGCTTTACACAGCTTGATAAAATCAACATGGTTAGCAACAAAAACTGAAGCATGAATATGCATTGTACAATGTACTTTTACATTTCAAAATAATCTAAATGTGTTATCCAACTGTTTTGTATATTACTTTAAAAAAAACAAAAAAAATGTACTCGGAAATCACTTTTTCATCAAAACTGATTATTATCACTTGGTTACACCATTCACCCAGTGTAAAAATGACAATTTTGACTTTTTTCTATGATATTTTGGTGTCTCGTATCTCAAAAAATCATCTAATGACCCCAATTTTTTTATTTTTTTTTATTCTGATATGAACTCATAATTCTGAACTCATAATAATGACTGAGTCTCATAGTCTTACTTTTGCCTGTAGGTTCAGCAATAATTTATTTATTTGTGAGGTTGAGAAGTTGTGAATAGGATATGCTGAATCTATGTATATCGGATTACTAATTAATGTATATTTTTAGTTTCCATGGTATTTTGGGTGTATTTTAAATAACCATTACGTATCAACAAAGAAATTCACTGTTTGATATTGTTGGAAGTAATAATTCAGCTTTAATATTTTTAGGGTTCATTTATAAAGATGAGGAAACTTTAAACCAACTATATTTTGAATAAAGTGCAGACTAATGTGTGAAACACCACCCCCCCCCCTCCATCCAAACACTCTAATCTAAATCAAGTTGCCATGTTGTAAATACAGAGCTCACAGCTATAAAAGTTACTGTTGTCCTGTGTATACTATAAATTACTCATGGGGAAAGTAAGCTTAAGCTTATTGATGACAGTAAGCTTATTGGAAATACTATAAAGCTAAAGTTATAGTCATATAAAATTACTACTGAATATCAAACTATTAAAGTGACAGTGACGTCAAAACTGCATATAAGCATATTCCTGTGTTGTTTTTCTGTTCATTGATTGGTTAGATTTCCTTCATCACATGGGGTATGGAGTTCTATCTACATGGCAGCAAGTAACACTGGTCATGGTTCACAGTGGTTCTTATCATTACAACAAGCTTTCAACTATGATTGACCCCAGGACGCACTATGATTTTGTGTAATTTTAACCTTTTGCATACGGAAGTCAAACCATATTCACATATCAAATGATTTTTTTTTTAATTTCTGTTAATAGAACCTATAGTCAATAAGACATGATGTCTACAAAATAACAAAGGAATTGTATAAAATAATTAGTGAAAATGTTCAAAATGATGCACCAACAAGTTGAACAGGATAAAGGATGGCATTCAAAAGTTTGACAGATAGAAAATGTTATTTGGTTTCACACCCTTTTTTCTGTAAACATGTTTAGCTCTGCGGTTGACTTTGTCGAGCGGAGCTTATTATATGGCTGATTGTCCATCAGCGTCTGTCATCCATGTCAATGTTTTACTTTTTCGACTTCTTCGTGAAAACTACAAGCTTGAATGCTTTGATACTTGGTGTATATGTACCTTGGGTAGACCTCTCTCAGATTTTGTTCATTTCATGATGAGTCCAATTGCTTTGATTGCTTTGATATTACATATATAGGTACTACATGTGGACCTCTCTCAGATTTGTTCATTTTGTGATGATATTTTTAATTATCTAATTTTGATGAATATTTTTGTAATTTTTGGTAAAAAGTGATATTTTCGACTTCTTGTTAAAAACCAATAGTTCAATTGCTTTGATATTACATATATAGATACTACATGTAGACCTCTCTCAGATTTGTTCATTTCGTGATGATATCTTCAATTATCTAATTTTGATGAATATTTTTGTCATTTTTGGTGAAAAGTGATATTTTTGAATTCTTGTTAAAAACCACAAGTCTGATTGCTTTAATACTATACATATTGTTCATTTTCTAATGATATCTTCTGTTCTTTAATTGGAATGTGCATTGCTAATAGCGGAGCTATCTCAGCCGACAGGCTGCTTGTTTAAGACAACTGCTAAATAATTCTACATAATTGTACTTACTTTTTAATTTTTAACTCTCAGGGCTGTGTATTAAAAGACCTGACAGAAGATATATAGTGTTAAAGATATTTAATAAAAGGAATATATCTAACCAGTTCTATTCACTTTTCATTTCAGCCATTAGGCTTCATGGAATGTCCTATACCATACAACAGCATAGAAGATGTGTATATTGTGTCCAGATGGGATGCTGGACAAAAATTTTGTATCCGTATCTTGCTACCCACAGGATCAGTCCTGCTTCAGGTGAGTCTGTTCATGATAACGCTTTATTTACTATGATTAGAGATAACCATGAAAGTATTAAAAGTATTTCTCAAGTCTTTATGCGATATTTTGACCACAATACATTGCTATATGTCTTTATGATCATTAATTATGGTTTTCATGTTTCAAATTGAACGTCGTTAAAGAGAGCCAGATTTATGAAAACGGCCACCATTCTGGGGGGAGGGGGGGCGTCCATGGAAACACTACAAGAACCAATTTGTTGCAATTTTGAAGATGTGAAAATAAAAAAAATTAAATTAGACAAATAATTACAATGTGAAATTGTTCAATAATATCAGTTTCTCTCTCAGCAAATTTTGCTATGAGTAGTATTGTGATTTCACAAAAAAAAAAAAAAAAAAAACACATTCATTCAGGTGTATGTGGGCACAGAATGCATTAAATATTACAAGGAATATTTCTCAAATTGAGTGAGGAAATTTAGCTTTTCAAGATTTTGCAAAAATGAGCCTTTGTGGGGATAAAATTCATGGTATTAAATCTGTTTGTCAAATTGAAACCATAAGCTTTGTGGGGATAAAATTCATGGTCGCTATCTGCATTAAATCTGTTTGTCAAATTGAAACCTACTTAAGATGAGAGCAGAATTCACCCAAGAGTTACTGCAGTCGCGTTTACGAATGAAACAATTAACAAAATTCACCCAAGAGTTACTGCAGTCGTGTTTACGAATGAAACAGTTAACAGAATTCACCCAAGAGTTACTGCAGTCATGTTTACAAATGAAACAATTAACAGAATTCACCCAAGAGTTACTGCAGTCGTGTTTACGAAAAAGACAATTTACATAATTCACCCAAGAGTTACTGCAGTCGTGTTTACGAATGAAACAATTAACTGAATTCACCCAAGAGTTACTGCAGTCGTGTTTACAAATGAAACAGTTAACAGAATTCACCCAAGAGTTACTGCAGTCATGTTTACAAATGAAACAATTAACAGAATTCACCCAAGAGTTACTGCAGTCTTGTTTACGAATGAAACAATTAACAGAATTCACCCAAGAGTTACTGCAGTCTTGTTTATGAATGAAACAATTAACTGAATTCACCCAAGAGTTACTGCAGTTGTGTTTACAGAGTTACTGCAGTTGTGTTTACGGAGTTACTGCAGTTGTATTTACGGAGTTACTGCAGTTGTGTTTACGGAGTTACTGCAGTTGTGTTTACGGAGTTACTGCAGTTGTGTTTACGGAGTTACTGCAGTTGTGTTTACGGAGATACTGCAGTTGTGTTTACGGAGTTACTGCAGTTGTGTTTACGGAGATACTGCAGTTGTGTTTATGGAGTTACTGCAGTTGTGTTTACGGAGTTACTGCAGTTGTGTTTACGGAGTTACTGCAGTTGTGTTTACGGAGTTACTGCAGTTGTGTTTACGGAGTTACTGCAGTTGTGTTTACGGAGTTACTGCAGTTGTGTTTACGGAGTTACTGCAGTTGTGTTTACGGAGTTACTGCAGTTGTGTTTACGGAGTTACTGCAGTTGTGTTTACAAATGAAACAGAATTCACTGCAATCCTGTACCTTTGAAACAATTGAGCTTGATTTCTAATGTTTATAAAATAATAATAATGCTGTGAAATACTTTTTTTTGCTGAGGGGATAATTCCATTAAAAAATAAAATCCAGCAAATATTTTCTTATATTTTTATTTCTCAAATATTTTACATTCGTTGCAAAGCAGTGAAAATAAATTCCACACAAATCATTCAAAAAGTCTTTGCAGTGAAAAGTAAATCCAGCTAAAATAAAATATTGTGCAGTAATCAAAAGCAATAGCTCTGTTGATGGTTTGCACTCGTCAGGTGGTTAGTTGCAAATCATACTTAACACTATAATCTGTCTTAATTTGTTTGAAATTCAAGAATGGTACGATAAGTCAAAGTTTAAAAAATGCAAGTATACATGCCCAGAATGTAGTGTGAACCATGTAAATATATTTCTGAGTCAGTTGAATTCTTTTAATAAATAGAAATTTGTAGTACCGGTACCGGTAGTCTGAATATAGGCTTGGATTCCTGTTTTCTAAAGTGCAGTAAGCATCACAATATTTATTTATTTATTTATTTGTTTCTTTCTTTCGAATTTGGAGTTGTAAGAATTGTATCCAACTATTAGACTTAAATTACATCCAACATTGCCCCCAACATTGCTTTGTAATTAATACAATACTAGTTCATACAATTTCAGAAGGGCAATTCTTTATTTTTTACGGCTCACTGATTCTTATGATTCACAAACTGTGTGTAATAGGATTTTTTCTTTTGTCCATAAAACTGGCATTCGGCTTGAATTCTGGAAATGTGTCGCCCGGTTATTTTTGGTTTCATTCTTGCAGTCACTCTTCATGACTTGTGTACCGTGTTTCTATGGTGAGTGTAAAAGGTGTGAAAAGTAATTCATTTATTATTGGAGCGGAAATAGTTGCTATAGAAACCAACAAATGGATCTAGTGTGAATGTATTTATCGAGAGGCTTTCCTGATGCCAGGCATCTGTTGGTAGTGTTTGCATGTAATGTATCCACTTGACATAGCTGATCTACATGCATACATTTTTGATAATGTTATTGGTTTTACCACCCCTTTGCATTTTACGGCAGTCCATATATTTGGAGGAAATATTTTGTAAATTAGTTTGGAAGTGTGTACTTGAGTTTAAGTTCAATTTATATACAATTTATCATGTTGGATTTTCTTGTTGCTAGGTAACCAAGATATTCCTTGTTTTACTGGTGTTTACGATATGGTTAATTTTGAAACTGCAATGAGTGTGTGTAAACACGCATGATCACCCAGGGTGTAAAAGTTAAAACTGTGTCACTATGTAACATGTTGTTCAATGAATTACACGTACAAAAATTGTGTGAGAATTTACCTTGTTCTAAGGGAGGGTCAGTCATCTATTGCTGTTGTCATGGTTATCATGGTTGTTACCTTATGATAACAATTATTAACTTGCTGGTAATGGTAAGTGGTGATGTACTTTTGTATAGGAGTTACGATGTTAGTTATTATTAATTGTTTGTTTTTGTCAATGGTGTCATCGTCAACACTATGTGGCATGATAACTCAACAACATTGTGTTTAATCCCTCTCAAACTTGTAATCAATCAATATTAGTATAATCTCAAATTTGGTATGACTGGGATATATATTTTTGGAGATATTGGTGAAAATGTAGCTCATTTACAATGGAGAAGATTTTTGTACTTGAAGAATGTAATATTGAATATTTCTAGAATTATGTCTGCAATTGTAGTGATGAAACCAATGCTAGTGTGCTGGATACTGATAAGAACAATTTGGCATATATCTATTTAGCTTGAAAGTTCATTCCAAGATCTGTTATTTAGTGTAGTGAAGTAGCTTGATTAGATTTGATTTTCCCACCAAAATTTGAATAGTATTTTATCTACCTATTTTGGCTTAGGTGCATTATTGCACTGTTTGGGAACTTTTATACAATTCATGTTATATTGATTCTATGCAGTACATTAATATTTACGAAGAAGAACAAGATTACGTAATTTTATAAATAATTACTGATGAGCTCATTGCTCAGGTATAGTGTCTTTGAAACCTGTCCAGTTACTGTTCATAAAAGGTGTTATCAACGCTATTGTTAAAAAATGCATCAAAACCAAGCATTTTTGCCATTTCTGAACTGGATCTCAGCCATGTATGGACAGATTTTGTTCAAACTTGGCACATACATTAAACATACTGAGATCTTGATTCACAGCATTTTGTTTTTCAGATTAAATTCAAAATAGCTGATTTTGTGGCCAATGTGTTGAACAACAGGGACTATGTCATCTTATGTCATGACATGACATGGTCTGGCATGGCTTGTTTCAATATAATTGTAGAAATCCTGGTACAGGTTTACAAAGCTAGCTTACATGCTATTAATATGTAATACAGGTATTAGCACTTACTCCAGCATTTGTACCATACATCATGATAAATAGTCACCAGTACAAAACAAAATATCAGTCATCATGTCTATATTGTGTAATTTGAATTTCTTGGACAGATATTTGGAAGATCACACTGTGTTATCAATGCAGTTTGGCTGCAAAAATACATACAAAATAATTTGATCCATTCCCTGAAAATTATGATTTTGTGATTTTAGTCAAAACTAATGTATATATATTTTGGCAGGTTCGATATTTTGTATATATACGAAAAAGTATATTTCATTTTCTACAATGTGTACAAATTCTATTTTGGTCGAGTGTGCTCTTAATTAATGGTTCTGAATCTATTTACAGAAATTCTTTGTTTTGTATTCAACACATTCAAGTATTAAATCTTCAAAATTGTGATTTATGTTCTTTTTTCATTTGTAGTAGTTCCTCTCAAGAACAAATGTAGGTTATATATTGTTGTTTATTTATGTCACTTTCATCAACAATGGACTTAAGAAATTGATGATAAGGAAATTGTTGTCATCATTTAAAAATATGTCATACAAAAAGGTGTAAAAATAAATATCAGAAAAACATATTGCTTCGTTTATCACTTTAATAATGTGACACTGTTACTAGGACATATGGGGGATATTTTAGGAGTCTTTGGCAAGAAACAAATGATATTTACTACCTGAGTTTACTTAATCTGATACTGTAAAGGGGTTAATTATCCACTGGGTTTTAATTTTGCTTTATTATGCTGACTGGAAAATGTGCTAAATTAAAACCCAGTGAACACGTTCTCTAAATGATAAAACTGTGAATTTAAAACCCACTGATTATGCCTGAAATGGTAAATCAGCGAAATTTAAACCCAGTGAAAATTAGTCATTATTATAGTATTGTAGAGTGATGAATTTTATATTCTGTTCATCCTATGTATCCATTTTGTAGAATCTAAAGGCTGAAAACCAATGCAGTGGTTATTCAATATATCGTAGAGCATTCTAGCTCATTTGCATAAACATCGTTAATTTACCTTATCGAAATTAAGAAATATAGTTATTTTTGGAGCCATCACTATATTTACACTATCAAGGATGTATGGATGACGTAATCAATTCAAACCATGGTCATTTCACCACTCAACACAAATTTCTGGACACAGGATTTGAGATTGGGAGAATTTGGCTTAATAACAAACATGGCTTTAGCTGACATTTGAAACTACAACTGGCGTGAAACTCACCAATGATGTAATAAGTTCAATGTGCTTCCATTGACCAATCAGATTGCCAGGATTTTTGACTCCCGTGTGCGAAGCACAAAAGGGAGTCTTTGCAGTTACCCTGTCTGTATGTCTGTATGTCTGTCACTTTTTTTGTTCCACCGTTATCTCAAGAACCACTAATCAAATTTTTGTGAAACTTGGTACATAGATGCTCTGGGATAATGCGCAGAGCTGATTAGGTTTTGGTAAAAATCTATGAATATTAATTACCTAATTTGCATGATAATTAGCTGATTTTTAGCTCTTCCAAGACTGTTCCACTGATATCTGAAGAACCACTCATTGGATTTTGATGAAACTTGGCACATGGATGCTCTGAACTAGTGCGCAGATTTGATTAATTTTGGGTAAAAATCTATGAATATTAATTATCTAATTTGAATGATAATTAACTGATTTCAAGCTGTTCCATGACTGTTCCACTGATATTTGAAGAACCACTCATTGGATTTCAATGAAACTTGGCACATGGATGCTCTCAACTAATGCCAGATTTGATTAGTTTTGGGTAAAAATCTATGAATATTAATTACCTAATTTGAATGATAATTAACTGATTTCAAGCTGTTCCATGACTGTTCCACTGATATCTAAAGAACCACTCATTGGATTTCAATGAAACTTGGCACATGGATGCTCTGAACTAATGCGCAGATTTGATTAGTTTTGGGTAAAAATCTGTTAATATTATTAATTACCTAATTTACATAATGATTAATCAATTTTTCGGCTTTTCCACTGATATCTCAAATACTAATCATAACATTTCAATAAAACTTGGTACATAGATGTCATATGACACTGCACAGACCTGGTAGTGTTTAGGGTAATATCAGTACATATTAATTACCTAATTTGCATAATTAATTAATTTTCAGCTTTTGATACTGTAAAGGGGGTAATTATTCACTGGGTTTTAATTTAGCTTATTTCGCTGACTGGAAAAATGCGCTAAATTAAAACACAGTGAATATGTAAAATTTAGCATAGAACACATTATCTAAATGATGAAACCGTGAATTTAAAACCCACTGAATATGCCTGAAATGGTAAATCAGTGAAATTTAAACCCAGGGAAAATTAGTCATTTTACAATATTTCGAGTAGTAATGATCACATTTCAATGAAACTTGGTACATAGTTACTTGAGGACTGTGCAGAGACCTAATTAGTTTTTGGGTAAATATTTGTGCATATTAATCACCTTATTAGCATAATTAGTTAATTTTCAGCTTTTCACCTGATATCTCAAGTACTAATCATCACATTTCAACGAGACTTGCGACATTTTCTAGGACTATGGAGAGACCTGATTAATTTTGGAATAAATAATTGTGCCTATTAATTACCTAATTTGCATAATTAGTTAATTTTTTGCTGTTCTATAGCTGTTGCACTGATGTCTACAAACCACTCATTGAATTTCAATGAAACTTTTCAAGAGTACCCATCACATTTCAATGAACCTAGGACTATACACCATATTAGGTTTTGGTAAATATGTATGCTTCTTAATCACTTAATTAACATAATTAATTAATACTGATATCTCAAGTATTGATCATCACATTTGAATAAAACTTGGTACATAAATGCTCTAGGACAATAGACAGCCTGATTAATTTTGGGTTAAAATCTGTTCATATTAACTCTCTAATTAGCATAATAATTAATATTTTTTGGGTTCTAATCACATTTCAATGAAACTAGGTACATTGTGCAGACCTTATTAGTTTTACACTTAAATCTGTTCATATCAGTTACCTGATTTACATAATTAGTTTTCAGCTATTCCATCAATATCTCAAGTACAAGTAATTTTGAATTAATTTTTACTGTGTCTTCAATACTCTCAGCACACGGGAGTTCTAAGCTTTCTTTGATATTATATATTATGGAGATACAGATCATTATAAAACTGCTTTATTATACTTTATTATGTTGAAAAATTCCTGATTTCTCTTAGTTCTTACCTTTAATTGGGAAGTGGCTGAAAAATGTGTGTAATTGGCAAAAAGTAAAAAATGTAGTATTCGTCGTTACAGCTTTAGCCAGAAGCTCAGTTTATAGAATTTGTATTTTGTATGAGGTTTTGACCATCTGGAAGTGTAAGCATATATTGTGGCCTTCAGTTCAAATCATCACATATACAAAATGCATACCCAACTAACTGGTATTATTAAATCTGCTGTGCTTTTTACAAAGTCGAACAGAGCTATCCATATTGTCTGCTTGTTTGCCTGTTAATGTCAATTTTACACCTTACTAAGCCATATGGCAATGAGGAAAGTGAATTGTAGTAAATATTTTTGTCATTTTTGGTAGAAAACACCGTTTTTGACTCCTTGAAAATTGCTAGCTAATTTGATTTGATATTTTATATGTAGGTGCTGTGGCAGATTCTCCATCAAATAACTTGTCTAATTTTAATGAATATTTTGGTCATTTTAAGGTAATAAAATACTACCGCTATTTTCAATTGGAAATGATTCCTGTCTCAATACTTTGCTGTATAATGAATAATTAAAAGGCTAAAGATAAAATATTTCTTAATCTGACTTTATAAATATTTAGATTGTAGTGCGCAACAAATTTTTTTATAAACAATTTTAAAAGTTAAAGACTGAACATTCACAGTAAATAACATCTTGTTTATAATCTGAACCCACAGAGATCAGAAAAGAATAAGCACCTTTCAAGGATAAATTTTCAGTGATCAAAACAATCGTATCCTTTGATTTGAAATTCAAAGAAACGGGAAGAATATAGGAACAACATTTGTTCCTAAATTTAGTGGTGGTTTTATTTTATATTAAATGAAGTGTAAAATGTTTTTTACTTTTCTTTTTCTGTAATTGTGTATATAAGGCAATTTAATTTCCGATTTGACCTTGAAAGCTTATTTTTTAGGTCATTGAAGTGATCTGAATCACATATTCAATGCGCCATTCAATTTCTTGACGTCTCAATGTGGTTTGCTCTTTCATTCATTGCAGGCAAGCAACATTTATTTACGTGACCAATGGCTGCATTCGATACAGTGGAAAAGAACAGTCAACAAATACAAGAAATTGCTTAGAAATACAAAAAAAACAGAGGTACTTATTCAGGAGATAAAGGTAGGTAACTGAAGGCGTTGTCATGGTTTCATCATGGTGTACATTGGGAGAATTGCATGGTTCTCATTTGCATAATGTATTTACCTCTATCGATCATGACTGCTGGTCGAGATGCTGTATTATACTGAGCATATCTTGTGCACAGTGACGCTGGTGCTGACTACTCAGAATCTGTAATGAATCATTTGCAATTAAAATGTATTAATGTTAGACTTGATAAAAACTGTACATAATCAGAATTCTGTATTTATACTGCTGTCTATAATGACATGCATATTTTAACGTTGCATGTTTGATGTAGCTAATAATGACGTTGTAAACCAAGTCTGACACTGAGCAAATAGACACTTAAATACAAACCATTTTCTGTGACAAATATTTTTTTTTGGTAACAGAATAATACATGTATCCAGCTGATAAAAATTTAATGAGTTAAATTCTAAAAGTTGAGATTAATTGGCAGTCATTGGACTAGTTATACATCACAAGAAGTTAATTTTAATATTTTTTCATGTTTGTATAATTGAAGTCATAATTTATTGATACTAAATTTATGTTATTTATTTCTGCTCCCCAAGTAATTTATTATCATGCTTAAGGTGGGATTTACACATATTTTAGCGCATATATAACAGACAGGATTTGTGTTAAATCTGTTTATAATTATTCATCTTAGTATTTAATAGTCAATATTATGTGGATTTTTTTTAATTCACTGTAGAGACGAATTTCCATTTCCTCATTAAAAAAACAATTTATAATACTTCAAGATGAATACAACCACTTTGTGAAAATCTTTTTACAATATGTCAAAACAAAAATTTTGAGATATTGAGATATATACATGCACTTGGAAACAATGGTAAAATGCCCTAACACAGACGAAACATTTTTTCTCACTTTCACTCCATTTTGTATGCCAATTTTGTATGAATCAAGTACAATGACCTCATATTTTTATTATGTTTTTTTTTCATCTTTTTAACATGAAATGTCACGTATATAAAAATAAAGAAAATTATAGCTGTAAACAGAATCACAGGGGTCCAAGTCTTATAATGGGATCAATCAGTAAATTAGTACATACTCGTACATGCTACAAGCTTAATTTCAGATTAGTTTGGTTCGTGAATTAGTTTTAGAGCGATTTATTTAATTTTTCGGTTAATTAATTATTAAAAGTCACTACATGTTCATATGTTACAGCCGTTCTGAGAATTATTCGGACAGTCAGTTAGCAATATATGTTGGAACTTTGCAAAACACTTGGGTCTTTTCCAATCTAGACTTGATGGCGCCGTTGTATTGCCACGCCTATACTTGGGATCATTTCATTATCTTGCAAGATGCGGGTAAAACGCTGTTTTCAAAACGTCGCGCGCTGGTTACCATATATTAACAGGTTATATGTTGTATATGCATTCAAAGTGTTATTTTAAATTTTTATAACCATCTGAGTCCACCTGACATAGCGTAATTTACAAAACAACTCCTGAGTGTTGAGTAACCCCAGGTATTAATGAACTCGTCGTTGGCGGGAAGGCTCAAAGTAAAGTTTCGCGCCAAACTAAAAGTTGTTTTTACATTACTGGTGCTGTGAGTACGTCAGGAATACACAGACGGAAAACTCGATTTTAATGATTTGATGGATTTTGTCAAATCAAAAGTGCCTTCCTTGATCAAATCACTTTTTCAACTGCAGTTTGAAAATGACGGGGTATAACGACCGTTATTATGTCTAGTCAATTTTTGTAACAGGTACAACTGACTAAAATGAGCAAGGGGTTGACATTTTTCAACGGATTTAAGCAACATCCAACTTGTGATTTTCAAAATTACTAAAAATAATTACAATATAATCATCAAAAATAAAGAATGGTTGCTGTGAACGCACGCTAGATAATACTTCCAATTCAGCAAGCTGACAACCCCTATGAAATAGTAATCCCAAACCACGCGCCCGTCACTCAAGTGGTGCTGACAAGTCTAGATTGGGCAAAGACGAAAGTGTTTTGCAAAGTTGCAAGTCATTTTCCTAACTGACTGTCCGAATAATTCTCAGAACGGCTGTAATGCTGCTAAATGTACAACTGCAATTCTATCAGATCACTATGAATCTCAGAAGTGTGTGAAAAAGAGTTTTTCCAAGTTTTCTTAAATCCAAGATGAAGGCCAAACCATGTGACTAATTGTGAAATGATTAATATGCTACACAGAAAGTCAGATCAATGTGGTTTGTGTTTTTTCAGTGTATTATCTATGGTGTGAATAATCATGTGACATGTTATAGTTGCATGATCTACTAGAATATTTAGTCCCTGTTTTAGGCGCAGCCTGAAAAGGGGAGTATAGTTTTTTATTTCCGGTTTCTGTTCGTTACGTTTCCTTTACATTTCAAACATTTCCTCAGAAACTCTGCAACAGATAAATGTACTGTATCTATAAAACTTGGCAGGTTGATGAACAAGTTTCTGTTGAATATGCACGTTATTTTTTTTCCAGATCTGAAAATCCTGAGTGGGTCTTTTTCATGATTTTCATCCAAAATTACCTCTCCCAACAACACTGAGAGAACAACTGAGCATGCTCATAATAAATAATTAGGTTAGATTGTAATGCTAGGGTTTTCAGTGACGTTATGACCTTGATCTGAATCAGTGACAGAAATGGACCATAGTTTGGCTTTTGTTTGGTTTTATGAAAAATTAATGCTGAAATCTTGAAAAAGGTGGTCAGAAATGTTGTTGTATATTATATCTTTGAACTGTAAAAATTGCATTCCATTATAAAGAGCCATCACTGAAATACCAGGTCACAAAGTTGAAGATCAGTGAAAGCACTTTGCAGTTACTGTTTATAAATCTTGGCTAGGCACATTGACACATGTGGTCTAAATATAGCTTCAGTTGTCAGGGCTAGTGGATAAATGGGCCATACCATTACAAATCTCAGTGGAAACTCAGAATTATAGTGGTAATACTGAAACAATCCCAGGTCCTTGTAATATACAAAAACCTAAACTAACAAAGAAGTCAAGTTTATGAAAGCAGTGTCTTGAGCATGTATTCATATATGAGACATAGTTTGGTTGTACTTATGTACTCTGAGATGTTGGACATGGGTCAATGGAAGTTATCAGTACAATACTAGATTGAGGGAAATCATTTATGATGAGTTGTACCCACATAGAGTACATATTAATTCAACTGTTTGCAGATGTTCCATGTATTATTTTAACATGAGTATTTTATAATTAAATGACGGGGACTGTGACATTCATGTCTTGTTGTTATTATTATTAATATTTGTGATATTGGTTGAGCAGTTTCAGATTTCTGAGATCCACATAAGTGCGCGACACTTGCTTTATATTCTCTGGGTTTTATTAAATTCAAAATGGCAACCAAGCCGAAATTTCAAAAGTCAAGTGCAACAGTTCATATTAGCCCCTATTAACTTTGTCAGCATTTCATTTGGAAGAAGCTGAACAATAACAAAAGGGCTCCAAGTCTCTATAGGCTTGGACCCCTAATGACATTATTTTTACTATTAAGTAGCATTCTACCTCAAATATTATACAGATGTTACTTATATGTATTATATAGTAATTACTGTATCTGAAGGTTATTATAGAAAATGAATTAGTCCATCACACTAATCTTATCCAATGCCATTTGTTTCACATGTGTAAGTGTGGTAAGGGGTGAATTATAAACTTATTTTCTTGTATCACAGAATCTAATAGAAATGACTATTAATACACATGTACAAGATGAAGATGTCTCTCAAGTGCCTTTGGAAATTGTTTCTGACATACTTTCACAGGTAAGTACTGTATGAAATTACAGCAAAACAGTCACCAAACCAGTCCTGTTTAAACCATTATAGTTCCTTCTGCATAGACTTCCTCATAGAGCAGACACCAATATATTATATGCTTATTTTCCTTCAGTGTATGTTTGGTTTCAATATACCGTAATATATATATATATTGCCAATTAAAACAATTAAACGATTTTTGTATCCTGCGACTGTGTTGTTGTCATAAATGGTACTCTAAACTTTATGTAAGTGTGGGAAATGTTTTTTTCATATTGCAATATACTGGTATTTTGTTAATCAGACATGTTGCATTGTCCGAAGACTGGCAGCAGTTTTGTAATAACTATACCCATGCAGCCACACCCTACTATATAAAATAGCTGTAATTTTAATGTAATGGCTACAGTGTAGCACACATAATATGTCACAGTATGGTGGGTAGTTAAGGATTCAAAAAAGCTGAACTCTTAAGCCTTAAAGGACAAAGCATATAAAACTGAAGGAGGATTTATATAGGAAAGAAATTAAGACCAGCTACAAATGTATTTACAAAGTGTATTAAGCTTTTCAAAATGTTTTGTTTGGGCTATCAAAAATATGTTGTAGTCCTAAAGTAAAAAAAAAAATGAAAAAACATAAAACTACTTGTATGCAACAATTCATTGTTGTTGAGTATTTTGTTTAGCATAGCCCTGAAGGTTTCCATCTGTCATTTTAAGTGAAAATCTTGTCGTGTATCAAAACGATGGCGAGTTAAAATAATATTTTTTTTTGCTAGGAGGAACCAAATATCAGACTAATTATTAATTTTCTGCATTTTATGTTATTTATTGAAGGACCATTAAATATGTCTGAGGTGTCAGAATATTTATATTTTACATGGTTGAATTTTTCATATGACTAAAATCAAGCATTCTGGGTCTTCAACTAAATAATTCATTGACTTGCAAGCACTCAGGAAGTTGAAGAATAACGACAGCACCTGAACGTCTTCTAGTATTCTGTATTATATATTTATCTCCCATTCTAGCATATTATGGTTTGAAATGTCAACTCTTGTTTTTGTTTTCATTTCAGAATACAGATGTTTTAAACAGTGTTGCACATGAAAATGTTATAGTGGCGTTGGCACCGTTACTTGAAAACAATCAACCATCACCTGAAATTTGTGCATTTTTTAGTAAACATTGTAAAAACTCGCCAAGATCCAATGTTGTTATCGAAATGTTTACACCAGTGGTCCAACGAATCCTGAAACACAATATGGTAGGTATACATTCTAAGCATATTGATGACCGAGTTTTCTGTTAGAAAACCTACATAACAACAGGAAGATTAATGCTTTGACATAAAAAGCTATTTATTTTCATGACCTGAAATATCAACATCTCTTGGGCCATATTTGTCATGCTTATTTTAATGAAGATATATCTGGGAGGTAATGTCATACTGATGACTGTCCAGCCATCTGTCATTGACTAAACATACCAAATCAGTCTTTGTCACAGGTGATTATAATGTTTGAACATTCTTGTTCGTTTAACATACACGAATGGTGAACGTTTGAACATATCTAATGATTCTTCACCTGTATCTCGAACATGCCTAGAGCAATTACCATTCAAACTTCACACACACATCTTGGGACACATATGCATCTCCATTGGTTTCATGATCCAATTCAAGATGACCATTATTGTCCCTAAAGAATTGATTCAAGCATTTCTGCAATTTCAGAACCAGATCTCAGTCATGAACAAATTTTGTTCAAACTTGATACAAACATCGGACATTATGGGACCATGTTGTACAAGGTTTTCAGATCAGATTCAAAATGGCTGCCTAGCAGCTATTTTGTTTCAACAAACTTTGTTCCAGAGCTATGTCCCTGATCATGTTCAAACTTTAGATATATATCATGCATATGTCCAAGACATGTGTTTACATGATTGTATAGTTGTTGCTTAGCCTGTAAAACCGGAATCGCGTTTCATAAAATATATATACTGTATTTGTTCTATTGAGTATTACAGAGGCATTTTTGTGGTCAGAATAAGTAACAATTGGGAAAATTCTAAAATACTGTATTTGCAATCCAGTATACATTAAATGAAGTTTTTTTGGTTTATGTGTATTTCTAATAAAGACACACTTCTAATGGAGCAAATACTGCATTGTTATCTGGCATATTGGTGGTTTAATGTGGTGAGAAGAAACCCTTTATATCAACGCAAGTCTGAGATCTTCGATTTGAACACTTGCCAATGATAAGAATGTTACAAATTCGACTGATTTATTGTATCTTAATGAAGTATAGTAGTAGTATTGTATTTACCTTTGTTGGTACGTCATATTTGACATGAGTACCTTTTGAGTAGCCCTAGAATAAAATTGCATATGACATGTACTCAATTGCCATTTAAATATCAGACAACAATAATATTATAGACTGGTGAGAATATTGGGTCAAGGTCTTCAAACTATAATAACAATATTTGGCATATCTTCTTTCAACATGGCTGTTTAAAAGCAGTATGCGTGATAAGTATAATAATCATTTCCTGCCAAATTGAAGTCATTAAACCCTATGTTAAATGTAAGTGTTCTATTTCTTTGTTCATATTTGAAGGTCATCTTTTGTAATTTGGTCACGTCTCTAAAATATAAGACATTACAAAGGAATCTGTGTATGTGTGATTAATATTTCAGATTACGTTTATGGTTTGATTCAAAATCTGTCAATTATAATACCTCTTTGTATGTAATGTATACTTCCTGTTTCTTTTTCTGAATTATTTACTGGTACCATATGGTGTGAGTGGTTTTTGTGTTTTTGGAATGTGACAATGATAGTTATTTCCTTTACATATATTGTCAGGTGTTTGTTTTATAATTTACAGTGCTAATATATGCACCATCAGCAATACATGTCAAGTACATATACACAACAATCAACTTTTACTCCATGTGACCATCATGTCTAAAATTTTAAGTAATTAGTTGTATGGTGACTGTAAACTTTGCTGAACCTTCAGAATAATAATTATACCTACCATATAATTATGGGAACATAATTTATAAAGTTACCCAAGTATCTTTTTAATTTAAAAGTAATTGGCTAAAATTATATTGAATGCAAATACATCTAATGTAAACACAATTATAGTAAATTACATATCCTCTCTTCAGTTTTGTTAGTGTTATTGAGAAAGTAGTTTAATAATTTGGAAAGAATATTTAAATCTTTCATTTCCATTCCAAGGCTATCGGAAGTGCCTTAGAGAGATTTGATTCACTGCTGCTATGCTGAGTAATCCACCTTTTTTTTTCATTAATTTGGAAAAGCATGTCATATTTATGCGTCATTAACAGCAGCTATTTTGATGCTTTCTAAGAGTATTTCGAGACACTTGCACAGATGACAAATCTTATTTGAAAACTGATACATACACGCAATGGAGATCGTTATAATAATATTAAAGTCAAAATTGTTCATAATGCACGATTCATTTCTATTTCTGGATTCTTATGTAAACAACTCCCACACGTTTTGATCACATGCCCGCTGCGGTACGTCAAAAAGATGTTTATGAAGAAACCTTTGTCACCTCAAGTGTGACAGTTATAAAGATTATAGTTGTACTATATAAGATGCAGAAAACAAACACAACACATACCTAATAATTTATTTTCATTGCTTGTTGGGGCCCCTCAATTTCGTCTTAAAGGGGAACCGCTCAATCTCATGGATTGCACCAAAGAGTCATGGGACACTATTGTTTATGTTGTTTACCATGTTAATCTATCTTTTGTTATCCATTGTTATTTTAATCCAGAAAGTAAATTTGTTGTGAGATTAGGCTTAACTGGAAGGTGCCCCTTTATGGTAGAAGCCTAGTCATAAATTAAAAAACCCATTATTTATTAATTTTGCAACAAACTGTACTCCAAGGCAATATAAGGATATTGACTTAAAAAAAGTTGGGGGTCACAAGCCTTATTTTCGAGAAATTGATGGTTTTATTTTCGGGGAAAGTCGCCATTTTGGCACTATTATAATACTTTTACCATAGGTTCCTATGGCAGAGATATTATGCAATATCTAAAAATCTAGCCTTGTGACATAGGCTGAACAAAATCATATATTGTTAATGAAGGAGTACTTTTTGTTGTTCTGAATTATTTAAAAAATCTGGGTTTTAAAAAGTGTCAAAAAATGCAATTTTTCTTTAACATTGTATTCTATGGAATTGTTCTAAAAATAACGTTTTTCAAGAAATATTAGAACATGTTTCTCAAAAAATTTAACTGTAACAGACAAAATTGGTCATAAATTACATGACAATGTTCATTACTAATGAATAGCTTATTATGTACAATCATGAAGCTAATGTCCTATGGCGAATTGTAGTAATAGCTTTTTTGTGAACTGAATACACCTATTTTAGGTAATAAATAATCATGTATTTTTAGTCCCTGTTCGGGCGCAGTCCGAAAAAGGGGACTTATGTTTTGACCTTCGTGTGTCCGTCCGTGCGTGCGTGCGTGCGTGCGTGCATGCGTGTATGCGTCTGTGCGTGCATCCGGACCTGTATCTTAGAAATGCCTGGACCAATCACAATCAAACTTCACACATACATCATACATGATATTATTATACATATGCACGTCAATTTGTTTCATGATCTCATTTAAGATGGCCGAATGGCGGCCATTTTTGTGCTAAAAATCATCAAAATCAAGCATTTCTCGGCTGTTTACAGATGGATTTTGTTCAAACCTTGTATATACGTTGGACATTATAGGACCTTGATGCACACCATTTTGTTTTACGATCTGATGATTTTTGTGCTAAAAAATCATAAAAATCAAGCATTTCTCGGCTGTTTACAGATGGATTTTGTTCAAACTTGGTTTATACATTGGACATTATGGAACCTTGATGCAAATAATTTTGTTTTCAGATTAGATTCAAAATGGCCAACTGGCGGCCATTTTGTTTTAATGAATGTGGTTCTCGTGCCATATGTCTGACTTGTTTTGACTGATTATGTTCAAATTTTTAATATTCATTATACATCACGTCATAGATATACGGATATATTGGTTTGACGATCCTTTTCAAAGTGGCCAAATGGTGACTATTTTTGTGCTAAAAAAATCATCAAATATCAAGCATTTCTGGCATTTATGGATGGACTTTGTTCAAACTTATAACATACAATAGACATTACAGGTTCCTGATGCATGTCATTTTATTTGTCAGATTGGATTCAAAATGGCTGACTGGTGGCCATTTTGTTTTAATGATTGGGCTTCTAGAGCCATATCACTTAAATGCTTTGACTGATTATATTCAAATTTTATATATTCGTTATACATCATGTTATATATATATACATGTATTCAAAATGACTGATTTTGAATGCTATTCCAGAGCAATATCTCTCAATATGGACAAGTACTTGTTTGCCGATCAGATACAAATGTCAATCATTTTAATGTTAAAAAATCATATTCCTCCAGCTATATTACTATAAACAAAACTATATATCTTAAATTTGATAACTAACTGGGACTGTGCCATGCATGGCTTATTCTTTGTTTTTATGGAGGTGATAACTGCGCATTTGTTTTGGCACGTGACAGAAATGTATTGTGAAAACAGGAAATTAACAATGACGAGAGATTCGCTAAATCAACATTTCGCTATTACCGGTACGTCATTTTACCACAATTCGCTAAAATTGCATGTCGCTTTTTCAACATGTTTTACAATATATAAACCCATGATATTTTCTTTTAGGTTGACATAAACAGACATTTGGGATTATCGCCAGCATCAATCATTGTCTTCTGCTCAGAATAATACAATAATCTGGCGATAATCACTTGTGTCTGCTGGCATCAAACTAAGAGAAAATATTGTGGGATTATATAAAGTATCAACAGGATATATGGAAAATAAAAACACAGATACAGAACACTCAGGGTTTGCGCTAGTGTCTCAGAAAAACAAGTCCCACTTACAAAATTTTAAGAAATAGAAATTTTATTTATTAGAGTCCCTCTTCAATAATTGGAGTCAGGGAAGCAAAATATGGGGTTAACTCAATCCCTGAGAACACCCTTACACCTGTTTGATGCAAACTTTCAATCCCAGCCAATTTGGCCCCAAAACTCAAACTTTTATTTTGTCTGAATTAATGTCCTCTATTTTTTTTGGAAAATGAATTAGTTCATTTAGCTCTTTTGATATTTCAGGATGACCAGAACTTGACTTTGACTCTCATTAGGAAATCCACTGTAATGTCTGATTGTCATCATAGGGGAATCAGAGAATTTTTTTCCACTGCTATATCATTTTAACTATCTTGTCAAGCACTACATGTATGTCCTATTTCTCAACAATTCATCCCCAAATTAATTCACATGCTTTCTGTTATTTTTTTAAAATGTAAACTAAACAGGCGCTAATTTGTGGTGATGTTTTTTGTGGAAATGAACTTTCGAATGCATGGAAGACCTGCGACAGAAAATGATTGACGTTTTTCGTAGCTTAATCAATAGCGTGTTAGTCCCCGTTCATCATGTTATATATATATATGTATATATATATATATGTATTCAAAATGGTTGATTTGAATGCTGTTCCAGTGCGATATCTCTCAATATGGGCAAGTACTTGTTATATTGTGTCTTTCACTAAACTGTGTCGCTGAAAAAACATATTGCAAAACATGTATTTGAAAAACCCATCCCACAAATTACTCTGAAATTTAACGAGACCCAGATGTATACTAAATATAAATAAAACACAATCTCTGTAATGTGATAGTGATGTGCGCTATCTTTGATTGAGATAGAAACTTTTCACATTTTATCTAGTGATGTAATTCAAAATGGATACTATATGATCTACAAATTTGAGTTTAGACACTTTGGGACATTATCCATTGAATGTCTTCAAAACTTTCACCAACAAAAATAATTAATTTAGTGCCAGTGAATATTTCCTCAAATTGCAAAACTCTAGAGACAAACAATTACAAGTTTACATCTGGTACATGCAAATCTAGAGATCTGGACAGAATAATTAATACATTTATCAATTAATAGTATTCATCTGGTACATGTTCATTCAGGAATCTGGGCAGGATCATTACATTTATCAATTAATTGTATTCATCTGGTACATGCATATTTAGAATCTAGACAGGATCATTACATTTATCAATTAATAGTATTCATCTGTTACATGCACATCTAGAGATCTGTCAAGGATCATTACATTTATCAATTCATAAAATTCATCTGGTACATGCACATTCAGGATCTAAACAGGATCATTAATACATTTATCAATTCATAGAATTCATCTGTTACATGCACATCTAGAGATCTGGACAGGATCATTACATTTATCAATTCATAGTATTCATCTGGTACATGCACATTCAGGATATAGGCAGGATCATTAATACATTTATCAATTTATGGTATTCATCTGGTACATGCACATTCAGGATCTAAACAGGATCATTAATACATTTATCAATTTATGGTATTCATCTGGTACATGCACATTCAGGATCTAAACAGGATCATTAATACATTTATCAATTTATGGTATTCATCTGGTACATGCACATTCAGGATCTAAACAGGATCATTAATACATTTATCAATTTATGGTATTCATCTGGTACATGCACATTCAGGATCTAAACAGGATCATTAATACATTTATCAATTTATGGTATTCATCTGGTACATGCACATCTAGAGATCTGGACAGGATCATTAATACATTTATCAATTTATGGTATTCATCTGGTACATGCACATTCAGGATATAGGCAGGATCATTACATTTATCAATTTATAGTATTCATCTGTTGCATGCACATCTAGAGATCTGGACAGGATCATTAATACATTTATCAATTTACAGTATTCATCTGGTACATGCACATCTAGAGATCTAGACAGGATCATTACAATTACCAGTTTACAGTATTCATTCAGTACATGCACATCTAGAAATCTAGTCATTACAATACTTACCTGTTCGTTTGATTATTTCACTATTACCTTATTTTTATTAGGAGTTTTATGAACAACAGCATATTAGATAGAGAAAAAAAACACTGCAAAATTCAAGGAAATCTGATTGTCAGTTTCAATATGGTATCCAGCTAACTTTAATAATCATTGTACATATACAGTTGTAGATATCTACTTCATAGGATCTTGGAAATGTATTGAATTCATAAATACAATATTTGTAATTTTTGTGTAAACTAGAATGTTTATATAGTTTGTGAATCATAGGAAAATGACACATACATTAGTAAAGTGACAATAACACCATTATTTAATACATACATTGGTTGAAGGCCAGATGCAATAAAAGCATTAGTGAATCACACCGCCAAACCAAACATATTAAGAGGCTCAATGTAATGTATAAATCTTTATTTGCAATTTCCATCAGGTATTTTTTTTAGTTTTTTTTGCTCTTATATAAATTACTCTTTACAGAGTGGAATTGTTCATATACCATAAGTGATTGTTTGTTGTTTATTCGCTAGTCTATCAATTCTATTTTTTACCTCTTCTTGAAAACTACCAGCTCAATTGCTTTGACAGTTGGTACAATGTATATAGGTACCTTGGGTGGGCCTCTGTCAGATTTGTTCATTTTGTGAAAATCTTTAATTCCCAAATTTTAACGAATATTGTCATTTTTGGTAAAAAAAAAAGAAGCTAATTTCAACTTCTCCCTGAAAACTACTAGCTCAATTGCTTTTGATACTTGGTATTGGTATTAATTTGTTTATTCAATATTTTTGTCATGTTGGTTAAAAAATGCTATTATTGACTTCTTCTTAAAAACTGCCAGCTCAATTGGTTTGATGCTTGGTATGTAGGGTCTATTGGTTAACACATAGTTAATATCTCATCGTACAGAACATAGTTAGTCTCTGTTCGGACACAATCCGAAAACGGGGACTTATGGATTGACCTCTGTGCATGTATGTGTGCGTCCAGACCTGTATCTTAGACATGCCTGGACTGATTACATTCAAACTTCACACATACATCATACATAATATTATACATATGCACATCAATTTGTTTCTCAATCTTATTCGCGATGATCAAATGGCAGCCTTTTTCTTACTGAAAACCCATCAAAATCAAGCATTTCTTGGCTGTTTACATATGGATTTTGTTTAAATTTGTTACATACATTGGACATTGATGCACGTCACTTTGTTTTTAAATTAGATTCAAAAGGGCCAACTTGCGGTCATTTTTTTTAATGAATGTGGTTCTAGTGCCATATCTCTGACATGCTTTGAATGATTACGTTCAACTTTCAAATATTCATTATACATCATCTCATAGATGTACAGATGTACTGGTCAGGCATTCCGATTCATAATGGCCGAATGAGGGCCTTTTTTGTGCTAAAGAATCATTAAAAATCAAGCGTTTCTGGCATTTTGGAACTGGATCTCTGTCGTTTATGGATAGATTTCATTCAAACTTGGTACTAGTATATACATTAGACATTATGGGTCCCTGATGCACCACATTTTATTTTTCAGATCGGATTCAAAATGGCCGACTAGTGGCCATTTTGTTTAAATAAATGTGGTTCTAGTGCTATATCTCTGACATGCTTTGACTAATTATTTTCAAATTTTAAATATTCATTATACATCATGTCATAGATATACAGATTATTATTAGTTTGACGATCCGATTCAAAATGGCTGACCAACATTTTGTTTTAATGTTGTTCCTGGGTAATACCTCTCAGTATAAACAAGTACTTGTACTATACCGGGTATATATTACTATACGCAAAACTATATAATTTAGATTTGATAACTGACAGGGACTGTGCTGTGCATGGCTTGTCAACTTGTTTTGAGGAAGACATTCTTCAAAGACGGTGAAGCTATTTTGACTGTTGCTTGTGGATAGAATGTTTTGTTAGTAATTTGAAATTATTACTGCGGCTCAAAAGAAAGGTGTTAAATTTGGAAATAATATTAATAATAATAATAATACATGTACTAATGAATATTTCTGAAAGTAATCCCTGGGTTTTTCAATATTAGTTACAAGTATGATTATTTGTCATCCATGTGGCATTTAACTCAAAAGCTGCCGTACAAACATCCTGGTTGTATTATGTAATAATGGATAATGTTACCCAATGAATTTTCAATCTGTTTCTTCTTATAATATCCAATATCATGTCTATATAATTTCTAATCATGTTATTTTTCTCTCTGAAGGATTTTGGAAAATTTCCTCGTATGAGAATGTTTGTGCAAGACTATATTTTAGCATTGAATTCTAAATTGGAAGGCATTATTGTGGTGCAGGATTTTGTTCAAAGGTCAGTATTATAAAGATACGTTTATTACTGTATCATTGTATTATTAAATTTATCATCGATATCATAAATGTAGCTACAGATGAACATTGTATTATAATGCTATCTCAGTGATATCATTTTGAATTCAACGTTCAGGCATTACATAACTTTAGTTAGTTTATTGTGTAAGTAATTTGTTATCTTGTCAAAAACTATATAGCCCATGCTTAGATATATATTGTTTTTTTCTACGTATGAAAATTATGTATTTTTTAACCCTGCATACAAATGATATGCAGCAAGGTCAGGTGGTAAATCAATATGCTACTTTTTAGTTATGTCTCACTCACTTGTATTGTACATGTCTGTGGTTTTGTTCTCTCATTGTAATTTCACTATTCGTATTAGGAATGGATGGAATTATGACTGCGTATACGATTGGTTATTTCAGATTTCTATTCTACATTATCCATATTAAGAAATCTTTTTTTGCTCATTATAGATTATATGTTTAACCTGCATGATGTATGTGGAAGAAAGTGTTTTTGTTTTGCATTTAATGATAATGAAGATGTGGTACCATACTTCCTCGATCATAAGCCCAGGGGCCTGAACATGTAAAATAAGGAAAATTAGGGGGTGGGCTTATATTCAGGACCACCTCAGAAAAGATCATTTGGGGGGGGGGGTGGTTAAAATTGTAACCATCTTCCCACCAATGAAAAATTATCCAAATTACATCTTTCGTTCACAACGCCAGTCTCTGGAAAAATAGTACGTCTTTTTGAGGAAAAAAAATGAACTGGTTATAGAGTGGCAAAAATGCATAATTTTGAGAATTGTTTTGCTTTAAAATAGGTACTTTTTGGCCAATTTTAATTTAATCATGAAACAATGCATGTGCATATGTGTGACATAATTATAAAATCCAGCAAATATACCTTTATCCTATATTTTACATTCATCTTGTCAACAATCAGTGAAAATAAATTCCGAACAAAACGCCCAAAAAATCTTTTCAGCGAAAATGAATTCCAGCTAAAATAAAGTATTTTACTGTACTTACTTTCCATATATATATATATATATATATATATATAACATACACATAGTTCTATATATAATATACACAGATTAGCTATTGTATGATGTAATACATCCCTCTGTAATAATTAGTCCTGGGATTATGCTTGTATTGGCATATGTGGACGAGCCAATCACGGACGGCTATTCTGAATTCTGGGTGAATAAACTCTGCCTGTTTCAAATCCCTAGGCACAAGGATAGATGATTGAAACGTCACAAAATATTGCTTTCATTTCTGCTTCATTATCTTTTGCTTCTGTTTGATACGGTAAAATGTTATTATCAATTCCCTTGTGATGTTCTTATTTGCTTTTGATATTTACATGTTAATTAATTGCCACAAATTGACATCCTTGATGTTTTCAAAAACTGGCAGTGTAATGTTTGCTACTTACATTATTTGACCACAATAAAAGAAGTAGATAAGTGTAAATATTATTGATCTGTTATTTTTATGTTACAATGAAAAACAATTCACAATATTTACCTGTAGTAATCATATGTGAATATTTTATCATATGATCTAGACTTTGAAGGTCAATTATCATTCCTGACATGTTTGTGACCATTCTTATTATATGATTATGTGACATTTGTGTAAATTATTACGATATCCTCATTATAACAAAGTCCAGTTAAACTCTTCAAAGCTAATGAAGGTCCCCCCCAATCACATATGCTTGTGACTCATAGCTAGTGGCTTAGAAAATGACTTTATTGTACTAAAAAATTAAAATTATGAAATTTTCATTTGTTAGCATGATTGAGCTTGTGATGGTGGAAAATGTTTTACGATGACTTAAAGTAGCATTTATTAACATACATAAAAAACAATAATGTACTGCATGAAAGCATTAAGTTCAAGATGTTTGAATTTGTAGATGTTAACGTTTAATACTGGGAGTGCTTAGAGAAAGGTTCACAGTGAAAATACCATGTGTGAAAACTGCTAATTAATTACTATATATAGATTTATGTATGATAAAATAGCACTTATTTTAATATGTGAAACATAGACATTTGAGCCTACTGACATCATTACATTTATGGAAATATACATTGTTCATTTACATTTAAAACAGAAATTTATATATGTGATTATCTCCAAGTTAACTGTTGATGCAGTTGTATTCTCTCCATGAATTCATGATGTTGTAAATTCACTTTAAGAGATGATAAATGTGTTACAGCCACATGACCATGTCTGTCAACTGTCTGTGCTTGCATCAGTGTCCACAAGAACAGCAGAAATTGGCCTTGAACTGAAAAATAAATTCAGTGCACATATACTGGAAGGACTGAATTTATGCACATCTTTGTATATTAATTAGGTGATTTTAATACATATAAATTCTTTTTCTTCACAGGATGCATGGACCAGCTAGTACATGTCCACATCCCAGAGTACTGCCAAACCTTGTGTCTGTGTGTTTGGCTTCTATATATTCTTACTTTGAAGACAGGGATAGGTGAGTTTAGCTTGAACACTCTTGTCTTTTAACTCTAAGCATTAAGCTGTCACATTTCAGTGAAAAACAAAGCGTAAGTGTTGGAATCTTGCAACCAAGGTTCAGGAAATTAAGATTGAAGAAGCTAGTTCTCTTATTAGTAATACAAAATTGCATATTCTGTTAATATTGACACTAATCATCAGTATTCATAATTCTGTATTGTATTGTATTGTATTGTATTGTATTGTATTGTATTGTATTGTATTGTATTGTATTGTATTGTATTAAAATTCACTATAGTTTCTTTATTAGTACTGTATTCAGAATTCCGTATTGTATTAAAATTCACTATAGTTTCTTTATTAGCACAGTATTCATAATTCTGTATTGTATTAAAATTCACTATAGTTTCTTTATTTATTAGTACAGTATTCAGAATTCCGTATTGTATTAAAATTCACTATAATAGTTCCTTTATTATTAGTACAGTATTCTTAATTCTGTATTGTGTTATGGTTGATGCAAGTCCCCCTGTCTTTTAGTACAGTGTTTATAATGTTGTATTGTTTATTCTGTGTACATGGAATAAACTGTAAATTATCCTGTCTTTACTATTAAAGTGAGATCAATTATTGGCACCTGTGCTGTTATCAAACAATTATTTTACTGTGACACATATTAAATATGGAAGTGATAAAACACTTGTTGGTCAGTCTACAGAAATATAAGGGTTGATATATCATGTATATAGTGTTTCCTGGTTCCAAAATTATCATTTGTTCCTTTATGATAAACTAATGTAGTGTATATTCACAAATGATGATTTTTGAAATGTTAACATGTATTTTATAAATTATAGTTCACCCCGACTTCTGCAATGCAGATATGGAATAGGACTTAAGATTGGTGTTTTTTTCTTCACCTATATTGTGACAGATTATCAGCAACTATTAGGATACATGTATGATCTGTATTGTTACTGCAACAATTTTGTGATTTTCACTGACTTGCGAAATTCACAAAAAATCAAGTGGTTAACAGTAAATAACATTTGCTGAATTTTATTTACTGTTTTCAAAGCAATATTAAATGAATTATTTTTATGTGATTATTTTCTCATTGTATTATCTTTGTTTTAGGTGCAATAGTAAAGGTAGATCCCCCGGAGTAGGAATGTTACGAGGTATTCGTATGGAAGGCTTATTAGTAGAAGAGGAGACTGAAATCAGAGATGAAGAGCTGATGATGTGTTTTGTTACTATTTTAAAGTTTATGTAAGTCTGCTAGGATAAATCATTTCATGACTTTCAGACACATAAGTAATTCAGCGGTATTTAAATTTAAAATGCATTTTATTGTAGTGATTTGTGAAATAAATATGGATAATTATATAATACCAGAGGTACATTACTTGGGGTTTGCAACGTGCATAGTACTTATGGTGACATCATGTCAAGATCCCATTCAAGTTTCTTCTCGTAGATAGCGAGACTGAGGCTACGATCTTCTGACATGACATATGTCAATGTTCAAGGTTTGTAATAAAAAATAAAACATGTCTTGCCACTATCATAGTGGAAAAATTAAATACATCGAAAATGTACAGAAAATATAGTTCTCGTAATCCATCATATCGTGGGCAGCTATTTTGATCCACCTGGACCACACAGTAACCTAGTTACCTTGGGCATGCGCATTCGCATTGTTCTTAGCAGCGAACGCTTATGCGAGAGCAAGATTGATCAGGATCTTGGTATCATGTCACCATAGTTGCAAACCCCAAGTAATGTACCTCTGATAATACTTTGAAAAACATTTAATTCAGGAATATGGATATAATTCTCTGTGTTTCTTTTATTATCATTTATTATTTACTTATTTATTAACACAATACTGACTTCGGAAAGTACAACAGTAAAATCACTAAAAACTACAAGATTAAAATAATTACAAAAATGATTAATAATGCAAGAAAAAGTAGCCACAAATTACAAAGTTACCTTTACAAAAACAGAAATACATTACAATATATATACAATTATACTCCTACTATGAGGTGCTGCTGTCTTATTTTAAGGCATTGTTTAATAAATTGTACCTTGCTGTAGTATACTTTATGACCTTAATCACATAAAATTAACATTGAGTGCCTTCTCTCCAACATATCATATTTCTGTACAGTATATGTTCTATGGTAAACATTGGGTGCCTTCTCTCCAACATATCATATTTCTGTACAGTATATGTTCTATGGTAAACATTGGGTGCCTTCTCTCCAACATATCATATTTCTGTACAGTATATGTTCTATGGTAAACATTGGGTGCCTTCTCTCCAACATATCATATTTCTGTACAGTATATGTTCTATGGTAAACATTGGGTGCCTTCTCTCCAACATATCATATTTCTGTACAGTCTATGTTCTATGGTAAACATTGGGTGCCTTCTCTCCAACATATCATATTTCTGTACAGTATATGTTCTATGGTAAACATTGGGTGCCTTCTCTCCAACATATCATA